TCTTTGAGTTTATAAACCGGTGGCGAGCGATGAAGACACTCATCCACTGTGAACAGTTCGTGTGTAAAACTCTGCTCATAATTTTTATCAAAAGCACCTCTTGTCACGTTTGGGAGGATGGAGATGGTGGACCATGTGTGGTGGGGGTTCCGGAGGCAGAAGAGCAGGCAACGGATGAAAAAAATAAAAATGGTTTAATTAATATGGCAGGTAGGATGGTACAGCAGGAGCAAACGTAACACGGTGAAAACACAACAATTATCTGACAACTGACAGGAGCAAAGAGGGAGGTATAAATACACAAGGGAATCAGGAACACATGGGCAGAGTAATGAGGGACAGGTGAGAACAATAAGGGTAATCAAGGCAGGAGAGACACAGTCAGGGAGGCCGGGGTGGATCATGACACCTCTGAGTTTGGAAATTCTCACGTCTCCCCTTTTCAGCTTCATTTTCTTTGCAGGCTTCAGTGAGGTGGCTCCATAAAGGTTGCGAAACCCCTGCCTTTGATTTTCCATGTTTACTTCAGCGGGAGACATTTTGATGGAAGAGTGGTAGCTATGGTTATAACCTCGTACTAAATCTTGCATCACGTCTATGTAGCGATGGGTGTTTTTGGCTGTGAAGTATCTCCACAGTCTACCTTTTCGAGTCCTGTTAAATCTCTCCAAACGCTGGTCTTAACACTGCCGGCTGTGGCAAAGTGCACAATGCAGTGTTTCTTCATGAGGGCATCAAATTTCTTATTAAAAAATTCTTTACCAGCATCTGTCTACAGTTTTTTAGGGGTACCAATGTCTTTCAAAACAGAAGCAAAAGCTTCTGTAATATCTTTCCCCGATTTGTTTTTCAGGACTCGTACATAGGCTTTCTTTGAAAATACATCTATGACGGTTAATAAGTATTTAAACCATCGTTTGATTTTGACAAGGCCTGCATGTCGCATAAGTCAGCTTGAAACTGCTTTAGTGACCCTGAGACAAAAACCTTATTTCTCGGGAAACAAACTCTTGCTGATTTGTGGAGTGTGTAAGCATCCTGTTCTGAAAGAAAATCGCGAGCCTTATCCGATGAAACTTTCTCCCCAATCTCTCGTTGGAAACCGGATCTAAACCTTTCCCCATCTCAGTAACTACCCTGAAGTTTTGGTGAAAAATAAACCTTTTTCATTACCTCCTCCATCACTGACGGATACTTGAAAAAAATGATACATATTCATTCTCATTATTTCTTTTTATTTCATAAATTTTACACATGTGACAATAAAGCTAGTCAGATATAAGGAATAAAATCTATTCACACTGTAAAAAACAACCATGCGGTCTAATCAAATATAACATCTAATCACACTGTAAAAAACTGCCATGAGACCTAGTCAAATATAATGAATAAAATATAATGGTTAACTGCTAAAAATGTTTATAAATATAAAAATAACAAGTTGCAAAAGAGACAGCGTGCCCCCCACACAGTTCACTCCACCACCACAGCCAATGCATCCAGGTCAGCTTTGGTCAGGCGATCGTACACCGGAAAAATGTCTTTGTGAATGGGCATCACATTCCTGAATCCGTGCAGCTGCGTCACAGCCATGGTGAACAGGATCTCAGTGTCCAGCTGGTTGTCTTGCAGACTGAGAATACTTTGAAGAGCCGGAATCAGCTTAGGTGTTAAAACTCTGCTGATAATGCCAGAAAAGTGAAAATTGGAAAATAATTCATTTTCAGTTACCTAAAGACACTCATGTTGCCGGTGACTGGGGTGATCGATCTTGCATCCGTGACAGATTGTAGGTAGGAGAGCTTTGATCACCATGCTGACCAAGTGAAGAAGCACCATCTTCACTTTGTCCACCACGTCTTCTATAAACACCCAGTCAGGCAGACATAGAGGCTTGTCACCGTTGCTCTGGAAGTTGAGGTTCTGCTGCTGCTGCTGCTGTTGCACACTGTCCTCCCGAGCAGGAAGAGGCGAAACCGTGGCAGGTCAGGGATTGATGTCGATCCAGGGTCTGAATGATGCTTTAGCAGAGACGGTCTCCGGAACCTCCATGATTGTGGGGAACCGTGGGAAGTTATCCTCCGGAAAGCATGATGGTGGTGGCGGCGACGTGGGCCGCGGACTTCCGTTGTATCTCGGTGGTGATGAAGCGGCTAGCACCCAGCTCGGTTGCAGGCAAAAGCTGTCTGGGATCCATAGTTCATCAAGGGTTGACTGAGTGTAGAAACCCATCATGCTGATGCGATAGATCGTCAGGGATGAAATGGTTTCTAGCTGGAAGCTCTTTATAACTAGTGATGGGGGGCGTGGTTTGATGATGCGACCACCGCTCCTCCTCCTCCTGAAGCGGGGCTTAGAATTCCAGCTTTTTCCGCACTGTCAGTATGTCTTTCCAGCAGCGGCTGGTACGAAAAAGTGAAGTGATACGATTCGCCACTTCATCTATTTTCTCACACCAGGCCTCGAAAGGTACAACCTGTAAAAGGCGGTAAATACCGCATTCAGCATGCACATTTTCCAGCACAAAAAAGAGCTCTGATCCTCCCTCCCAGACCGAGGCCTTGAAAATCCACTGCCCATCCGCATCCTTCAGCCCCTCCCATGAAGCGCTGAAAGCTATCACAGCGTTCTGGATTTCATCCAACGATGGAAGAGCTTGTGGCCTGTTGCGTATCACAGCCGGACGAGGTCTCTCACGATCATCTTTGCACACCCTGCGTGGAACTGCGAGGTTGAGCACTGCCCAGTTGTTGTAGGAGAGAACTGCTGAATGTGATAAATATTGCTTGAGAGGTTCATCCTCAGCCACATCATGGATTAGACACAGCTCCTTAGTGTCATAGCTGAACCGGAACTACCGGTATAGCCGTAAGGCTCCAGTGGCCATATTTGCTCCAAGGACTCTTTACCGCCAAAAGGAGGAAGCTGAACTCTACACATGTAGAATGTAGATTTGCGGGGAGCACCACCCCCCGCAGGCAGCAGATGGATCGCTATGGATTTTTCACAGAGCAAGGTCTGTGATAGCGGCGACGCCTTGTCCACGCTCTCCTCTTTCACCTCCTTCTCCTCTCGGGTAGAGGTTGATGCATCGGTTGTAGACACTTCATCCATCTCCTCTTGCTTCACCATTTTCTTAGAGGTATTTATTCGGCCTTTCAACATTCTGGTACGTAGATTTTTTCTCAGTCTGTCCGCTGAAATGGGTCGGAGCTTTTAAAGAGGCAAGCAGGGTTGGAGGGAGGGATGTGGGGTATTACATATGAATGGGAGGGGCTGCGGGAACTGTGGGGTTAAAACAACGAGGTATCCTAAAACAAGAGAGTTATAAATCCTAACTTGACGTAAAGTGGGGCAGGGAAAACCATTGAATACATCAAAGCAGATCATCAATAATTATAATAATGCATTGAACTAATATAGCACTTTTCTAGACACCCAAAGACGCTTTCACACACTCACATTCACACACTGCTAGTGATGGTAAGCTACTTGTAGCCACAGCCGCCCTGGGGAGGTCTGACAGAGGCGAGGCTGCCATTTGGCGCCGTCGGCCCCTCTGACCACCACTAACACAGGCAAGTTGGGTGAAGTGTCTTGCCCAAGGACACAACAGCAGGATACCCCTGGCGGGAGCTGGAATCGAACCCATGACCCTCCGATCATGAGGCAACCCGCTCTACCACCTGAGTTACTGCTGCCCCAAATGCACATCTTGACAGAAGGGGTCTCGGGGACTACAACTGATAACTTCATGGGTCATTACACAACAATCATCAATTTATTTCTTGGCATATGGGGTCATAAAAGGTCATAAAAAGGTCATAATAAGGTCATAGAACAAAAGACCTGTCAAAAATTGTGACGAAGGGTGGTTTCTTCATCTCTCCGTCACATCACCAAAGGCTGCACAGGGACTGTGGGGGACAGACACCTTTAGGAGCGGCTTTTCAAAAAAACTTAATGAGTGCGGCTTCGATTGCAATAAAAAGCATGTTTTGTCCAAGATAAATGCAAGTCCACGGCAGTGTAGAGACTGCCCTCGTTTATACCGCCATCGCATATGTGGAAAAAGACACGATTGCACAACAATACCACCACGGTCTGACCACTAACAAACAACCTAAGGCTTCCTGACGCCGCCACAGCATTGTGGCAATTAGGCAGCATTCTTTTGTGAAAAGGCTTAAAAGAAAGCAAGGTGGCCGAGGACTAGAGAGTTACAGAACCACCATACAGGATAAAACTGTGAAGATCCTGGAGCACATCACTGATAAAGGCCCCAGTGACTGTTAAATGAATATCTCAGGCACTGCAGAGCATGTACCATCAAGGACGTGGCTGTTATGTAGATATCCTTCCAGTGGCTAGAAAATGCTCTACTGAAGGACAGAGATGAGGCTCAGATCATGGTATTAAATGGGCCATCAGGGTCTGATGTAGAAGCTCAGTTTCTCACCCTGTGTTTTGTCTCATAGTCCAAGCATTCAAAGTATCAGATCTTCAGTCCAAAATGAACCGCAGTGAGAGTTCAGTGAAAGAACTAAAGAGAAAAAACTCTGGTAAGTTTCAGCGTTTTCTAGTTAACTCCACCACGCTTCCTCTCTGTTTGATGGAATCCAATGATGGAAGCAGAATCCTGAAAATGTCGCTCATAGCCATGTAATTCTTAGAAGGCGTAAACACACACCACTATCTGTCTTTACATGCATGTGTTCCCACAGCTCTGGCTGCAGAGCTGCCATTCCTGCAGACAAGACTGAGGGCAACTGAGAGCACAGTGGAACAGCTGAGGAGAAAGAACACAGGTCATCATCCTCCTCATATTAAAGACCAAGTTCACTTGTTTTTTCAACACATCTTCAGTGGTCCTAAGCGAGTGCATTGTGAGTCAGTCTCTGTTGTAAAAAAGCTCTGGCGCTCCTGTTCCAGGAAGTTAAAGTTAGTCGGGGGGCAGAAAACAGCAGAATTTGGGGTCTTTCTCATATTTGGACATCTTGCCTCTGGCTAACAGCATTGCTACTCTATAACGGAGTCAATTTACTTTGCAACGTTAATGTTTTATTTATTTGTGGAGACAAATAACAAGCCTGAAGGGGTTCTGCCATGTTGTGGAATTGCTAATGCTAACGGTTATGCTAACAATGTCTTTCCTGGACACTAAACCTGCAACAGACTTATCCGTCACGAGCCAAGATGGGTGAGACCCTGAATGCTAATTTATAGTGTGACATAGATCTTACTGGCTTTTCCAATTTGAGTGCGTCCCCGATGGCTAAAGGAGGAAATAAGAGTAGAAGACTATTTTTACGTTTAGCCTGCACGTGAAACTCTGAGTGACTGATCATATTTCCAAAATAACAAGTAAAAAACTGGTTTGTCGGATGTCAGTCAACGGGACAGTCTGCCGTGCACAGCTGAAAATGATGCAAATACATCCTTTTTCTAAACTAAAGACTTAAGTACCTCTATCTGCTCATGTCTCAAAGAAAAGCCCAAGTCCAAATAGTCCAAAGTTTACGCCAAAGTCGTTTTAAACAAGCCGCAGCCATCTTTGTTGTTTTGTTCCATTGCAGCTCGTGCGATGGAAGATTTCTAGGCGAGATGATTCAAGATTTTCTGAAAAAGAACGGGTGGCAAAAGGTCTGAGTTATATCTAGTCTTTATGGAGTTTACATGAATGAAATTAAACAGTCTTTGTTCCACTCCAAGGGGCTGGAGCGGGGGAAATGGCTGCTCATCAAATCTTGGATTGAGGTGGTTTCTGCTTCATGTTGCTGGCAGCTCTTGCCCATGAGGATCACAGATTTAGTGTGAAGCAGCTGAGATGATTATCAGCACCTGAGCATCTGAGGCCATAGTCCTTTACAGGAAAGGGGTGTGTTGGGTGGAGGAGTTCAAATATCTTGTCAACTTATTCACAAGTGAGGGAAGAAAGGGGGCAGGGGACAGGAGGATTGGGGCAGCATGTGCAGTAACCCGAAGGTTGACCTTTTGGTGAAGAAGGAGGTAACCTGGAAAGCAAAGCTCTCAGTTTATCTGTCTATGATGTTTTTAGAAGTTTCACATTCTAGTTGTCAGAACATAGAGAGGTTTTGCATAGTTTCTTGTTGTTGAGGTAAATATAGTGATTTTTTCTGCCGGTTTTTAGTTGTGGCTGTCAGACTTTGCAACACTGAGAATCTCCTGGAAGATCTGAGAGGGCAAATTTCAGGTCAGGCTTCTTTGGGTTCACAAACCTCGTCTTTAATGTTTAACAACAAAACCTAAAAGAAACATATTTTTCTGTTTATTATCCATCAGAGCTCCAAACCCCCACCAGTTCATCTGGTATGACTCCTGATGTCGACACCCTGGAGAGTCATCTGAATGTTCGTCTGGAGATGCTGAAAACCAACATTAAAGGTAGAACATCCAATTCCATTCAGAGGAGCACTTTTTAACAATTATTGGTTATTCAAATAGTTATCAATCAGTTGTTTAATATGTCCATGCAGATCAGGTTGCTGAGTTGGAAACAAAACTAAACTCCAGTCAGTCTCACTTGGAGGAACTGAGAAGCACTGCAGGTCAGTAAAGTATAGATAATAAAGCATTAGTCACATGATGTGATGATTAATCTGTTTTCATGTCATGTGGATTTCCCGTTACTCTTTTTTCCAAATCAGAGCGACTGGTTTCTGCAGAGAGTAGATGGGAGGGGGTGGAAAGACAGCAAGAGGTACTCTACACAGGTAAGCAATATTTTCATCATCCTATAATTTTGCTTTTTGTTTCTATGGAAAACACTGTTAATCATCAATCGTGACATTCCAATGAAACAATTTAGACTGACAAGTAAACTTTAAATGATCACCTATCAATATTCACACAACCAAGAACAGGCTGTGAGGAACGTTTATTCTTCAGAAACACTATTTCTTTCATGTACTTCTTCTTGCCATTTAGGGAGCCTGATAAATCACAATCCACTTTTAATCTAATTGGAATTGAAGGAGGGACATACACACTGGTCAGGTGTCAGGAATGGAGTTGTAGTTGTTGTAGGAGGACCCAAAATCCAGGAGGCAGCATGGTTTTATTTATAAGCTGTGGAGCAGCTTGGCTCAACTGATGTATTTTATCACCTGAAGGACAGAGTGAAGCTTGCAGTAGCTTTAAAGGCCATATTTTATGGACTACCCAGCCTGAAATGTAAGGATCCTGACAGGTTCCCTGCGGAACTCCATTGTTCATGTTTACAGAGTTGAGTAGACTGAGAGCTAGTGAAAAACAGCTGGAAGACCTGAAAACCATAAATGCAGGCAATAGGCGATGTTTTCACATTTACTGGAAGTTAAATACTTAAAACTTATGTGACAAATATTGAACCAATTCAGCAAATGTTGAAAAGAGTCAAAGCAGGTTTGTTCGGTAGATGCTGAAGTCAGACTGAGATCCACAGAGACCCATCTGGACCAGCTGGAGACCCACACTGCAGGTTTTCTCCTCATCCTGTCAGGTTGGTTCAGTTTATTCCTGATGGAGACAATTAATAAACATTACGGATTTTCTTTTCAGCTCTGGAGATCAGACTGAAGGTCGGCGAGAAACATCTGGAAGAGCTGAAGACAGAAAACTCAGGTAACACACGAGGTTTTATAAAGTTGATTTCAAATCAAAGTCAAACTTCTTCATCTTTTATATTTGAACCTAAAAACTGAAGTTTTTCTGGATGTCTCTGCAGTTTGGTTCATGTGTGAATAAACCAACTTCAAATGAAATGTATTTTCAGCTTATGAAACCAAGCTGCTGGCTGTGACTGACAGACTGAACATGACTGAGGAGCAGCTGGATGATGTGAGGACACGAAGCTCAGGTGACTTCAGGGTATCATGGAGTACTTTCTATGTTGTTTGTTTCTATGATGTTGGACTCTAAAGGGATGTTCATGTTTTCAGTCAGAGCTGCTGAGCTGGTTTCACTTTCAGACAGACTGGCTGAAGCTCAGAGAAACACTGAAGGTAACTCACTGAAACACCGTGTGCATCATGTTCACTAGCTATAGAACATAAGAGGTGTTTTCTCTCCAGAGCTAACAGTCAGACTTGGTCAGTGAGGCTAATCGGACCAAGCTGAGGACAGACAAGGAGGTATTTTAGAGTTAACCTTTGACCTTACGTTACACCTGACACTCTGGGCCCAGGTCCATTAGCTTGTTCATAGCAGTCAACCTGCTATGAAAACAGTTGCTGGTGGTTTAGTCATGGCTGCTGTTTAAGTACAAATAAGAAAACAAATCTAAAGGTTTACACTGTAAAATCTGAAACAGCTAAAAAGTTTCAAAGGGTGTCAGCTTTAAGGGCAGCTTCATGGGCTCTCCAGCCTGAAACTGAAGGATCCTGAAAGGTTCTTGTAACGGTATGAAATGACTGTTTTCCACCAAAAGTCATTTTCCCCCTCTCCTCTGACACAGGACTAGTCTGCATGAGATATGGCCTCAAGGTCTCATGCATTTGCTATAACCTGCTTCTTTCCAGCTCAAGAGAAGAATGAAGAAAGGACTCTCTCTTTTTAATAAATGAAAGAACTCTATTTTAATAAATCTAATCAAACAAAGTGTTAGTCAATAAATAAGTTGTGACCAATCTGTGAAATCAAAATATTAATTACTTTATTATAATCCTATAGAATATAATAAGTAATATGACTTTAAATGTTTCCACTAGGACTGATCTCACGTAGCGTTAAGAGACGACACATTGCTTTACTGATCCAATCAGAATCTGCCAGATCTGACGGAGGCGTGGTTTTGGTGGTGTTTGGTAAACCTGTCATCTTTTCATTCGACCATAAACCAAAACATTCAATTCCCATCAGAACTAATCGCTTCTTTGGATTTGCTGTTTCTGAGCAACATTCCACATCACACCATTCTCCGTCTCATTCACCTTAGTTACACCATACATGTAGTGTTAAAGTTAGTCCAGTTTAATTTGTTTAGTAATACATCTTTAAACTTTTAAACTCGACTCTCTCTCTTCTCTTGTCTCTGAGTTAATACGAAGCTGTTATCTTATCCCTGCAATAAAAAGTTCCAATCTTCCAGTTGAAATAACCCAACAGATCCATAAGGTTGATTTCATATTTGCTACGGAATCTTTTGTCTTATGGCTTATTAAATAACATGTAATTTAAATCATTACAGAACGGCTTCTACAGGCTTCGGCTCCACAAGGTCAAGCTGGACCTCTTCACCTCCTGATCTGAGAAACTCTTTCGGTTTTCTCTTTAGAGTTGATGAGCAGACTGAGGCTTCGTTCACTCTGCAGGCCATGATGCTGCTGAATTCAGATTTTTTGAGTAAATAATATTTTGTGTGTGTCTGTTCACATTATGACTGAAATGCGACATCAAACTCTCTCCAGTGTGAATGCTTCATTGTCCCAAAGCGACCCGCATGTACAGAAGACTAGAAGTCACACTCAACGGAGTCGGAACCAGGAGAGGCGGAGTTGTGATGTGAAAGCTTTCACTGACAGTTCATCCACAGCATCAGGATCACACCTGTCAAGTTTCCCGTTTTGGGCTGGAAACTGTTTTGAAAACTGTAAACTATTTTACTCTTTGTTCCCAACATCTTCCTGAATTATTATTCACTGAAAAACGTTCCGGTAAAATGTTCAGGTGTTTTTAATTCGTGATCTTGACAGGATGCCCAGACAGACTCCTGAATCCTTCTGTCAGCTTTTCTCCTCGGAAACGTCGGCATACGACTCTCACCTCCGCTGACTCAGTGACGTAGGAGACGGATTTAATGCGACATGACCATTCAGACGGCATTTGCTTTCAAAAACAACAGATATGTATCGGAATCACTACCAGATATGAAAGTGACATGGATCGGATTTGAAAAAATCGGATCTGTGCCGTTCAGACTGACTAAAAAACATCATGTACAGGCCGCATGTGGGGAGAAAAAAATCAGCTTTGATGCGCTTTTGCCTGCAGTGTGAACGAAGCCTGAGAGTCAGCGAGAAACATCTGGAAGACCTGAAGACAGAAACCTTAGATTACATGTTTTACGTCTAAGTGAATTTTTTATACAATTGTGTTCAATTCAAACATGCAAACTCAAACTAAACTAAAGGATAATTTATAGCAAAACTGTTCTAATCAAATAGAAAAATAAATATGATTGTTATTTTTGGGCTGATTGTTGATTGATGCAACCATGCCAGTGTTCAGCAGCCTCGCCGCCGTCAGTGCGCCCCAGGGCAGCTGTAGCTACATGGTAGCTCATCACCACCAGCGTGTGAATGTGTGTGAATAGATGGATGACTGATTGTGTTATGAAGCACCTTGGGGCGGTTGCAGAACCCTAAGAAGGTGCTGTGCAAATACAGGCCATTTACCTAGTAAACATGTTTATCTGTCATTCCTTCCACTGATGCCTTAGTTCAATCTCATGGCAGAAAGGACTAATCTGGTCATGTTCAAGGAGTTATTGCTGATAGGTTTAGTCGCAGCAATAGTTAAATAAATGAAACATCAATTTTCTTCCTTTCATGGTGATATTTGTACAGTTTCTTTCTAAGTGCAGGTTGGTGTTAATGTGTTGTTTTCAGCTCAGCTCCACTCGATTTACTCCAAACTGATCAACGGACTGAACAGAACTTCAGGTGAAATTCAAAAATGAATGGATGAATAAACTGGTTCAGGAATTCATATTTAAATAAGTAAATGTTTAAAAGAGTCAAAGCAGGTTTGTTCGGTAGATGCTGAAGTCAGACTGAGATCTACAGAGACCCATCTGGACCAGCTGGAGGCCCACACTGCAGGTTTTCTCCTCATCCTGTCAGGTTGGTTCAGTTTATTCCTGATGGAGACAATTAATAAACATTACGGATTTTCTTTTCAGCTCTGGAGATCAGACTGAGGGTCGGCGAGAAACATCTGGAAGAGCTGAAGACAGAAAATTCAGGTAACACACGAGGTTTTATAAAGTTGATTTCAGATTAAAGTCAAACTTCTTCATCTTTTATATTTGAACCTAAAAACTGATGTTTTTCTGGATGTTTCTGCAGTTTGGTTCATGTGTGAATAAACAACAACTTCAAATGAAATGTATTTTCAGCTTATGAAACCAAGCTGCTGGCTGTGACTGACAGACTGAACATGACTGAGGAGCAGCTGGATGAGTTGAGGGCTCAAAGCTCAGGTGACATCTTGCTAGTAGAAGCTAACTGTTAGCGTTACAAACTCCATAACATAGTGGAACTCGTTCAGGCTTCAGTTGTTTATGGTGATTCACCGATTTGAAATTTTTTGGGCCGATACCAATATCCAATATTGAGATCACTGTCATGGCCGATATTTGCCGATACCGATGTGCTGACATTAATACTTCTAAAATCAGCAGATTTTGTATAGAATAAAAATGATTGAAGCTGAATTTACATTATTATGTACACACTCTACACACATTTACGCTTCTGAGATGATTACAATAACTGTGACATGACTAAACAAATACACATCACCCCCCTCACCCTCTGAAACATATAAATTAATGGAGACAAGATAGAAAAATATCGGATGTATATATCGGCCCGGTTTTAGTTATTGGACTGATACTGATTTGATGCTGATATATTGTCCATCCCTAGTTATTTATGGAGATAAAACATCAATGCTGCAAAGTAGGGCTGCAACAAACGATTATTTGGATAATCGATTAATCGGATGGGGTCTCGACACGATTAATCGATTAATCGGATTACATAGGGACATTTTTAAAAACTGCTAGGGAAACGTTATTTTTCTCCTTCCCTCACTTTATTAAACACAACATTATTAGAAAACAGTTCAATAGCAGAAAAACAACATGCCATCACCTAAATTGTCTTATAAGGTGTATAGACAGAGACCCTAAGCTACACCTATCTGTGACCTAAAATGCTTGGTCCAAGTTAAACAGCTTAAAGAGCAAGTCAACCCCTACCAGAGTCCAACTCCACTCCCGCTTCATGTTTGAAAAATGCAACACATGCTGTTGCCTGGCAGACCGAGAGGGCGGAGCCGCTAACAAATACACACACACTCAGGGTCACGACAGCATTGTGACATCATAATGTACCAGTTTACATCATAGCATACTTCTTAGCCAATAGCGGTGGCAGATTTAAATTAAAATACAGTGCAGAGTTTTTACCTGACAACGGCACAACACTGCCAGTTTTAGGCAGAATATTTAAATTTTAACTAAGATGCACTGAAGTGCCAAATTATTGACGACACGTGTCTGCAGCATGATTAGACACTCGTTTATTTAGTCTATCAGCAAAAAAAAAGTATTTGGGGGTGACTTGCTCTTTAAGGGCAATTCTCATCTGTTTTGTTTGATCTCATCTGTAGATATTTATTATAATTGGGGATGTCAAACAACTAATTTTTAAATGTAATTAAACATAGGCTGTGAATTAATCAAAATTAATCACTATTTCCCAAAATGACTGAAAAATACCAAATAAAACAAAAGTAAATGAATGCCATCCTCCTTGTGATGATGCCCTGGGCAACTGCCATAAAGTCACATCAAGAAATGCTGCTGATCATTCCAATGATCCCAAATAGACTCACATTAGGCCACATGAAAGCAACTGAACCCAAAAATATATTAACCAGTATATAACTGCACTCTCACAACACGCCTGCAGCAACAGTTAGGACTCCTCCCTCCCTTTTAAAAGCGTTTTCGCTTCTGAGGACATTGTGGTTGTAAAGCCACAAGTTAGTAGTCTGGCCCCGGTGTGATCAACCAGTTTCTGCGGGAATGTGACGGCGGAACCGGTTCGCAGCGGCGCGAGTCGTCGCACCCCCCCCACCCCCCCCCCCCCCCACCAGTGGCGGATCTAGGATTTTTCTGAGGGTGGGGCCATCAAGGGGCCACAATATTTATAGAGGGGCCACGAACAGTCCAACATACTTGCATACTATTCCCAGTTTTGTATGGTAGATACAGTTTACCCCAACACCATGTTGAAAAACATCAATGCAATTGTACATCAATTTTTACTGTACATTGACAAAATACAACCACACACAGCATTTGAGAAATTTTAGCATTCAATTTATTTTGCAAAGCCACAAATATCAGGTTAAAATATGTTTGTGTGTGGAAAAAACACCAGAAGAATATCACAGGACCCTCTGCTCTTGACTGGGAAATGTCTGGTGGGAAGTCAATTAAATAAGTCTGAGTCAGTTGCTTATATCTCTCAACCTTTAACATTCATGGCATTCAGAATCTGCAAGTGACTGACTGCAAAATTCAATTAAATTTAAAGAGCCTTTTCAAAATGAGAAGCACACCACCAGGTCCTACTGGAACAGAACACCGTTCTGATGTCTGCGCAGGATTCTGTGCATCACACTGGAAGATGTCTGAAAACAGCAAATGAGAAATTATCTAACATAAGCCAAATACATACACAAGCATTTATTACTTTCAAAGATCAATGTTTACCATTTGATCCTGCAGGATTAGTATTGATTGGTGACTCTGGTGGCCCAGCAGGATGGAAGGTTGAGTCATTAACTTCACTCTGGTTGTCTGAATTGGAGAGAGTCTTGTCCCAGTTTGCAGCTAAAATACAAATATATGTCAAACTCCAGCTAAATCCAGCCAAAACTTTGTTTTCTATGAGACCACATTTTTATTTATTTGAAATTGAAGACTTCAAAGATTGGACTATAAAGATGAGATGTGGTAGATGTAGACAAAGAAACCAATACAATTTAAATCCATTATGTTAATGTTATAGTAAATCACATCACCATGAAGGGGAAGAATTCAGTAAACATATGTGCCATTAGTACAAGATAACATCATTTAACAAATTTGAGATAATGGTGATTTTTTTTATTTTTACCTAGAATAATGGCAGGAAAAGTTGGACTAACAAAGGAATATCCAAAACACAAAATCTCTTTGGAAAACTTAACCTTGACCTTACTTAATCAACCAATTAGAAAATTCAGTGTTTCAAACAAGGACTTTTCCCACACATTTTACAATACATCAAAATGTCACAATTTAGGGAAACCTTGAAGGAATTGTGGGAAAGGAAACTTAACTGCAACATTACTGATGATGAATGGAAAGATGCTTTGAGAAACGTAAAATCATTTACTAAAGGGAAGCAACTTTGCCACTAATGATTTGTCACGATTAACAACTTCTATCAATTTAAACAATAATCCTTTATTTTTGGTGCTTGGAATAACTGACCCAATTATTACTGATAAATATAAAAAGCTCAATGCAAATTTTCTGTGCAAGAAAATGACTCCACATTAACTGGATCAGCTCCAAGATAAAATGGGAAAAGGTTATCCTCAATTATAAGCAGAACACACTGGGCAGCATTAGGTCGTTTATAAGTGGTCAGTCCGTCCTGCTGGATAATGTGGTGCAATCATGATCTTTTTACAAAAGATTATGCGATGGCGGTGAAAAGGGAGCTTGGGGGCGGTCTCTGCGCTGCCACGGACTTCAGTTTATCTTGGACATAACTTGCTTTTTATTGCGATCAAAGCCACACTCATTAAGCTTTTTTAACAAGCCGCTCCAGAAGGTGTCTGTCCCCGTGCAGTCTCTGGTGATCTGAGCTTCAACTCTTACGGAGAGGCTCCCCGGCCATCATCTCAGCTGATTCTGTTTAGAAAAGCCAAACTTACGGCCCATGTTTACTTTCATTTTCAATATAGTTGCCGGCCGGAGCTCGGCAGTAACTGCCCACGTGATCATGATACCCCCTTCTGTTGCGCCAAGTTGTAATATGCATTCACAATTCCGGCGTTGCGGTGATATTAGTATCAACCGTGGCAGCACGAATGCCACAAAATTCCCGCAACACCATGCCGCCACGGCGCGTTTATATTACACGTACGCTGATTTCCCAGCATGGTATGTCCTACAAGAGGCTGTCTCTCGTGTTTATCTGACATGACTGTTGCACAATAAAGATTATATTCTTTCTGACCTGATAAAGGGGGAATGGAGGTCCCTTGCCCTGTTCCAGCCTCTGGTCTACTGCCTCCTGCTGCTCTCTCTCTGATTTCTCCATGCTCGTTCTCACCAGCTGACACACTCACTCTCTTGGGAAAAAACTGCAGAATTCCCGCCTGTATCTGACCCTTTCTTTTCATGTTCTCTATCAGACAGTGCCAACTATTAACACACGAAATGCAGATTACAAAAGAAGTACATGGATTAGCAAGGGCTAACGTTTTTTCACAAGCCCTTTTTAACATTACCTTTAACTAATGTCGGCATTGCTTTCCATTGGACTTATTGTCAGACTTGACTTACATGGCAACTGTGAGTAAACAGTGATTCGTGACTTACCAACAAACTCCTCATAACGTGGACTCTCATCAGATCCGATGTCGGTTGAAAAGTTCTCCCTTCTTGGAATCTTTCAAATCTTCTTCTGTTGGATTTCACACACTATTTTGCTCCTTAGCGCCACACGGCCACTAGTGTTTGGACTCGGAATTGCATCCACCTATAATCTCATCACCGCACAAAGGACAGATGAGTGACAGGACAGGGGCACTACAGGGGCCAATCATATTTCAGCAGGGGCCAGTGCCCCTGTGGCCCCGCCCCTAGAACCGCCAATGACCCCCACCCCACCCCCGCATATCTAATAGCGTCGCGCTTACAATTTTAAAGACTTTTTTTTACGAGCTTAGGGCCTGTCTAGCCTGTGTAATAATCCGGAGCTTGGGTGAATCACTTTTGAAAAGTTTTTAACTTACCCGGACACCGAGCTCTCTCCTTCCTCGCTGATGATTCTGACATGCTTGCGTTTAAGACGCTGCATCATCACCGTAGTATCCCCATGCCATGCTAAGTCTGACCTACAAACGTTGCATGTCTTCGCCTGATTTAACTGAAAATGCTCCCAAACTTTAGAAGTTTTTACTTTTTGGGGGTCTCGCTGCTTCTGCCATGTTCCTCTTACAAACACCTGCTGGCTCTCCACCGGTCTGCGCGCAACGGCGGGCGGGAGGGGAGGGGGCTTTTGGAAGAGTTGCGCAACACAACGAATCGATGACGCAATTCGTTGCCAACGCTTTTAGTAATCGATTTTCATCAAATTTATCGATTCGTTGTTGCAGCCCTACTGCAAAGCAAACAGCATCAGTGGTGAAGTCGCGTTACTGTTGGCCAGTCAGAGGTGACATGAATACTGACAAACTGCAAATCCTGTTGTTTTCAATTCAATTCATCCATCCGTCCATCCATCCATTTTCTGAACCCGCTTGTCCACGCCGGGTCGGGGTGGGGGGGTGGGGGGGGGTGCTGGTGCCTATCTCCAGCGGTCAATGGGCAATCAGGCAGGGCACACCCTGGACAGGGAGCCAGTCCATCGCGGGGCGGCACAGAGACACACAGGACAAACAATCATCACACACACACTCACACCTAAGGACAATTTAGACAGACCAATCTGCCTAACTGTCATGTTTTTGGACTGTGGGAGGAAGCCGGAGTACCCGGAGAGAACCCACACATGCACAGGGAGATCATGCAAACTCCATGCAGAAAGATCCCAGGCCGGGAAGCGAACCCAAGACCTTCTTGCTACAAGGCAACAGCTCTAACCACTGCACCACTGCGCAGCCTCAATTCAATTCAAGTTTTTTTATATAGCGCCAAATCACGACAACAGTTGTCTCAAGGCACTACACATAGTAAACATTCCAATACAGGTTAGATCATTAAGCCAATCAGTAAAAATGTCCTCTATAAGGAACCCTGCGGATTGCATCGAGTCACTGACTAGTGTCAGTGTCTTTACAGCAATCCTCATACTAAGCAAGTATTTAGCGACAGTGGAGAGGAAAACTCCCTTTTAACAGGAAGAAACCTCCAGAGAATCTTGGCTCAGTATAAGCAGCCATCCGCCACGACTCACTGAGGATCAAGAAGACAGAGCAGACCCACCAACACCCACACACACACACACACACACACACACACAACACAAATGCCAAGTAGTGTTTCTATGGTTACATTGTGATTTCTTAGTAAATATTCTATTTGGTGAGAGATAAACTTTATTGTATTTATCCTAGTGAATCTATAGTTAAACGGGTAAACTAGTAATAGCACATTCAATGTCAAATAAAGTAAAATGTTATTTTCAGGAGAGGAAGAATGTTTAAGTGGTTAGAAGCAGTGGGCCAGCCAATGGCCCCATGAGGCTACCACAGCTCAGCAGTGGCACAGTTAAAGAGCTAATTGTAGAAGAAAGTAGCCGAGTGCGGAAAGTGGTCAGTATGTCCTCCAGCAGTCTAAGCCTATAGCAGCATAACTACAGAGATAACTCTGGATTACCTAGCCTTTTAGATAGAGGCATGTTGGAGGCAGGGCAAGGGCGAGCCGTCTTTACCAACTGCACACTCCACCTCCCTCTACTCCCCCACTTGTCCAGATCTGGGCTAACATCAGATTTTAACCATAGGCCCTATCAAATAAAAAGATTTTAAGCCTAGTCTTAAAAGTAGACAGGGTGTCTTCCTCACAGACTAAGGCTGGGAGCTGGTTCCACAAGAGAGGAGCCTGATAGCTAAAAGATCTGCCACCCATCCTATTTTTGGATATTCTGGGAACCACCAGTAAACCTGCAGTCTGAGAGCGAAGTGCTCAGTTAGGAACGTATGGAACAACCAGATCACTGATGTATGATGGAGCTTGATTATTAAGAGCTTTAAATGTGAGAAGGAAGATCTTAAAATCTATTCTCAATTTAACAGGCAGCCAATGTAGGGAAGCTAAGACAGGAGAGATATGATCTCTCTTTTTAATTCTCATCAGAACTCTAGCTGCAGCATTTTGGACAAGCTGAAGACTTTTAACTACATTCTGTGGACTTCCTGAGAGTAATGAATTACAGTAATCCAGTCTTGATGTAATTAATGCATGAACTAGTTTTTCAGCATCCCTCCTGGAAAGGATGCTTCTAATCTTAGCAACATTCTGAAGGTGGAAAAAGGAAATCCTACAAACCCGTTTAACAAGGGATTTGAATGACATGTCCTGGTCAAAGATAACACCAAGGCTCATAACTTTGTTCTCGGATACTAATTTAATGCCATTCAGGTCAGGTTGACTAAGCAATTTCCTTTTCTGAATTTTGGGTTCAAAGATGAGAACTTCAGTTTTGTCTTGATTTAAAAGCAGAAAGTTTAAATGAAATTATTAAAGTTTTTCAGCAAATGTCTTGATGTATGTTTTAGTGAGTGCTGATGAATTCTTCAAGGTGGTGTTAGAACAGCTGTGATTATTGCAAATGAAATGTGTTTTCAGGTCATGAAACCAAGCTGCTGTCTACTACCACGAGACTGAACATGACTGAGGAGCAGCTGGATGATGTGAGGACACGAAGCTCAGGTGACTTTAGGGTATCATGGAGTACTTTCTATGTTGTGTGTTTCTATGATGTTGGAATCTAAAGTGATGTTCATGTTTTCAGTCAGAGCTGCTGAGCTGGTTTCACTTTCAGACAGACTGGCTGAAGCTCAGAGAAACACTGAAGGTAACTCACTAAAACTGCCTCTCTAGCCTGAAACTAAAGGATCCTGAAAGGTTCCCTGAGGAACTCTTTTGGTTTTCTCTTTAGAGTTTATGAGCAGACTGAGAGTCAGCGAGACACATCTGGAAGACCTGAAGACAGAAAACTCAGGTAACAATGCAACAAAGCTTATTTTCTAGGGCAGCAGTAACTCAGGAGGTAGAGCAGATTGTCAAGTAACTAGAAAGTTGTAGGTTCAATCCCAGTTCCCACCAAAGAACGCTGCTGTTGTCTCCTTGGGCAAAACACTTAACCTACAGTCACTGCTGCTGGTGGTTGGAGGTCCCGGTGATGCCAGTGTTCAGCTGCCTCGCTTTCGTCAGTGCACCCCAGGGCAGCTGTGGCTACATGGAAGCTCATCACCACCAGCGTGTGAATGTGTGTGAATAGAAGGATGACTGATTGTGTTATGAAGCACCTTGGGGGGTTGCAGAACCCTAAGAAGGCGCTGTACATACAGGCCATTTACCTAGTAAACATGTTTATCTGTGTTGTTCCTTCCACTGATGCCTTAGCTCAGTCTCATGGCAGAAAGGACTAATCTGGTCATGTTCAAGGAGTTATTGCTGATAGGTTTAGTCGCAGCAATAGTTAAATAAACGAAACATCAATTTTCTTCCTTTCATGGTGATATTTGTACAGTTTCTTTCTAAGAGCAGGTTGGTGTTAATGTGTTGTTTTCAGCTCAGCTCCACTCGATTTACTCCAAACTGATCGACGGACTGAACAGAACCTCAGGTGAAATTCAAAAATGAATGGATGAATAAACTGATTCAGGAATTCATATTTAAATAAGTAAATGTTTAAAAGAGTCAAAGCAGGTTTGTTCGGTAGATGCTGAAGTCAGACTGAGATCTACAGAGACCCATCTGGACCAGCTGGAGACCCACACTGCAGGTTTTCTCCTCATCCTGTCAGGTTGGTTCAGTTTATTCCTGATGGAGACAATTAATAAACATTACGGATTTTCTTTTCAGCTCTGGAGATCAGACTGAGGGTCAGCGAGAAACATCTGGAAGAGCTGAAGACAGAAAACTCAGGTAACACATGAAGTTTTATAAAGTTGAGTTCAGATCAAAGTCAAACTTCTTCATCTTTTATATTTGAACCTAAAAACTGATGTTTTTCTGGATGTTTCTGCAGTTTGGTTCATGTGTGAATAAACAACAACTTCAAATGAAATGTATTTTCAGCTTATGAAACCAAGCTGCTGGCTGTGACTGACAGACTGAACATGACTGAGGAGCAGCTGGATGAGTTGAGGGCTCAAAGCTCAGGTGACATCTTGCTAGTAGAAGCTAACTGTTAGCGTTACAAACTCCATAACATAGTGGAACTCGTTCAGGCTTCAGTTGTTTATGGTGATTCACCGATTTGAAATTTTTTGGGCCGATACCAATATCCAATATTGAGATCACTGTTATGGCCGATATTTGTCGATACCGATGTGCTGACATTAATACTTCTAAAATCAGCAGATTTTGTATAGAATAAAAATGATTGAAGCTGAATTTACATTATTATGTACACACTCTACACACATTTACGCTTCTGAGATGATTACAATAACTGTGACATGACTAAACAAATACACATCACCCCCCTCACCCTCTGAAACATATAAATTAATGGAGACAAGATAGAAAAATATCGGATGTATATATCGGCCCGGTTTTAGTTATTGGACTGATACCGATTTGATGCTGATATATTGTCCATCCCTAGTTATTTATGGAGATAAAACATCAATGTTGCAAAGCAAACAGCATCAGTGGTGAAGTCGCGTTACTGTTGGCCAGTCAGAGGTGACATGAATACTGACAAACTGTAAATCCTGTTGTTTTCAATTCAATTCATCCATCCGTCCATCCATCCATTTTCTGAACCCGCTTGTCCACGCCGGGTCGGGGTGGGGGGGTGGGGGTGGGGGGGGGGGGTGCTGGTGCCTATCTCCAGCGGTCAACGGGCAATCAGGCGGGGTACACCCTGGACAGAGAGCCAGTCCATCGCGGGGCGACAGAGACACACAGGACAAACACTCATGCCAACACACACTCACACCTAAGGACATTTTAGACAGACCAATTAACCTAACTGTCATGTTTTTGGACCCTGGGAGGAAGCCGGAGTACCCGGAGAGAACCCACACATCCACAGGGAGAACATGCAAACTCCATGCAGAAAGATCCCAGGCCGGGAAGTGAACCCAAGACCTTCTTGCTACAAGGCAACAGCTTTAACCACTGCACCACTGCGCAGCCTCAATTCAATTCAAGTTTATTTATATAGCGCCAAATCACGACAACAGTTGTCTCAAGGCACTTCACATAGTAAACATTCCAATACAGGTTAGATCATTAAGCCAATCAGTAAAAATGTCCTCTATGAGGAACCCTGCGGATTGCATCGAGTCACTGACTAGTGTCAGTGTCTTTACAGCAATCCTCATACTAAGCAAGTATTTAGCGACAGTGGAGAGGAAAACTCCCTTTTAACAGGAAGAAACCTCCAGAGAATCCTGGCTCAGTATAAGCAGCCATCCTCCACGACTCACTGGGGATCGAGAAGACAGAGCAGACCCACCAACACCCACACACACACACACACACACACACACACATCCACACACACAACACAAATGCCAAGTAGTGTTTCTATGGTTACATTGTGATTCTATTTGGTGAGAGATAAACTTTATTGTATTTATCCTAGTGAATCTATAGTTAAACGGGTAAACTAGTAGTAGCACATTCAATGTCAAATAAAGTAAAATGTTATTTTCAGGAGAGGAAGAATGTTTAAGTGGTTAGAAGCAGTGTGCCAGCCAATGGCCCCATGAGGCTACCACAGCTCAGCAGTGGCACAGTTAAAGAGCTAATTGTAGAAGAAAGTAGCCGAGTGTGGAAAGTGGTCAGTATGTCCTCCAGCAGTCTAAGCCTATAGCAGCATAACTAGATAGATAACTCTGGATTACCTAGCCTTTTAGATAGAGGCATGTTGGAGGCAGGGCAAGGGCAAGCCATCTTTACCAACTGCACACTCCACCTCCCTCTACTCCCCCACTTGTCCAGATCTGGGCTAACATCAGATTTTAACCATAGGCCCTATCAAATAAAAAGGTTTTAAGCCTAGTCTTAAAAGTAGACAAGGTGTCTGCCTCACAGACAAAGGCTGGGAGCTGGTTCCACAAGAGAGGAGCCTGATAGCTAAAAGATCTGCCACCCATCCTATTTTTGGATATTCTGGGAACCACCAGTAAACCTGCAGTCTGAGAGCGAAGTGCTCAGTTAGGAACATATGGAACAATCAGATTACTGATGTATGATGGACCTTGATTATTAAGAGCTTTAAATGTGAGAAGGAAGATCTTAAAATCTATTCTCAATTTAACAGGCGGCCAATGTAGGGAAGCTAAGACAGGAGAGATATGATCTCTCTTTTTAATTCTCATCAGAACTCTAGCTGCAGCATTTTGGACAAGCTGAAGACTTTTAACTACATTCTGTGGACTTCCTGAGAGTAATGAATTACAGTAATCCAGTCTTGATGTAATAAATGCATGAACTAGTTTTTCAACATCCCTCCTGGAAAGGATGCTTCTAATCTTAGCAATATTCTGAAGGTGGAAAAAGGAAATCCTACAAACCTGTTTAACAAGGGATTTGAATGACATGTCCTGGTCAAAGATAACACCAAGGCTCATAACTTTGTTCTCGGATACTAATTTAATGCCATTCAGGTCAGGTTGACTAAGCAATTTCCTTTTCTGAATTTTGGGTTCAAAGATGAGAACTTCCGTTTTGTCTTGATTTAAAAGCAGAAAGTTAAAATGAAATTATTAAAGTTTTTCAGCAAACGTCTTGATGAATGTTTTAGTGAGTGCTGATGAATTCTTCAAGGTGGTGTTAGAACAGCTGTGATTATTGCAAATGAAATGTGTTTTCAGGTCATGAAACCAAGCTGCTGGCTGTGACTGACAGACTGAACATGACTGAGGAGCAGCTGGATGATGTGAGGACACGAAGCTCAGGTGACTTTAGGGTAGCATGGAGTACTTTCTATGTTGTGTGTTTCTATGATGTTGGAATCTAAAGTGATGTTCATGTTTTCAGTCAGAGCTGCTGAGCTGGTTTCACTTTCAGACAGACTGGCTGAAGCTCAGAGAAACACTGAAGGTAACTCACTAAAACTGCCTCTCTAGCCTGAAACTAAAGGATCCTGAAAGGTTCCCTGAGGAACTCTTTTGGTTTTCTCTTTAGAGTTTATGAGCAGACTGAGAGTCAGCGAGACACATCTGGAAGACCTGAAGACAGAAAACTCAGGTAACAATGCAACAAAGCTTATTTTCTAGGGCAGCAGTAACTCAGGAGGTAGAGCAGATTGTCAAGTAACTAGAAAGTTGTAGGTTCAATCCCAGTTCCCACCAAAGAACGCTGCTGTTGTCTCCTTGGGCAAAACACTTAACCTACAGTCACTGCTGCTGGTGGTTGGAGGTCCCGGTGATGCCAGTGTTCAGCTGCCTCGCTTTCGTCAGTGCACCCCAGGGCAGCTGTGGCTACATGGAAGCTCATCACCACCAGCGTGTGAATGTGTGTGAATAGAAGGATGACTGATTGTGTTATGAAGCACCTTGGGGGGTTGCAGAACCCTAAGAAGGCGCTGTACATACAGGCCATTTACCTAGTAAACATGTTTATCTGTGTTGTTCCTTCCACTGATGCCTTAGCTCAGTCTCATGGCAGAAAGGACTAATCTGGTCATGTTTGTAACGTCCAGCAATGGTCAGTTTTTAGGTACAGTTTGACCATTCAACATCTGGTCAAAAAGGAGACTCAATACTGCATGTGTCCCCTTTATATTGGCCTGCCTCCATCCCATCAGCTGGAGCTCAGAGCCTCTGCAGCTCTGCACACAGATAACGAAGTGCCAACAATAACGTTCTCTCCACAAGGTCCAAACTTTCAGGATTCTTTATGCCTCTATATAAGGAACACTCGCAGCCCGGATTTCCTAAATCAGATGTGAACTTCTACAACTTATAAGCTAGATAATCATTTAATAAACATTTGTTTTTTGCTACTTATAATAATTGTAATATAATGAAATGTTTCATTAATCTGTGATCAATGATTGAAGTTTGAAATAAATGTTATGTTATGATTACATTGATTGAAATACATTTTAGCATGTTAATATGACAAGGTCATCACCATTTGCACTCACACAAGGACAAAGTAAGGTTAAGTTAAACCCATTACACATAAATAGTCCCTTACCCCAGATCAGAGCCTTTGATATCAAAGAAGGTGTGTTTCTGAGATTCTTGGTAATATTCCTCAAACTTGTCAACCTCTGGTTGGCTACACAAATCATAACATGAGAACATTAAAACCAGATCACTCTGGGTGATTCCTTAGTTCTAGAGAAAGTTTCAGACCGGCCATCTGAAGCAACACCTCTTTAACCCATTTTTGACCCGTCGTCAAAATCTTTTTGCATCTGCGAAGCTGATGAGCAACAGTTCCTGCAGAACGAGTTGATATTGTTTAGACTCCTTCAGAGTCCCAGACGCGCAGTTCCAACCATCTGTTGTGACCTGGAGACAACTCTAAGACCGGTTTAGTGGGGCCGCAGTTTCTTCTACAGATCTCGGTGCCTGGAAGTCCGAGGACTTCGACATTCTGGATCTATCACGAGGGTCTTCGAGTGGGCATGTAGACACACAGTTAGCGTCCGATGTGTTTTGATAATAACCAACTTCATAGCTTAATGCAAACCAAATTCTTTTACATCCAGAACTCAGCTCTCCTAGATACGGAAGTTCTGACTAACACCTTTCACACATAGGTGTCATACATCACATTTAGTTCCATCCATCACAGTAAATGCTTAGTTAACTTGTCATGTTTTAATTGTTTGTAAAATAAATTCTTACTTTTATAAACCTGATTCTTTTCTGAAACAAAACGAAGTGTATACAATCCCCTGATAAAGCAAGAAACCTAGATCTTCTGATTAAACACCTTAAAGACCAAGCAGGATTGATATTCTATATTTAGATAGAATATCACAGCTTATTGGTCATAAGTAGAGGTAATATATATATTGAGCTCTTAAAGTACTCAATTTGCTAAACCCTACATGTTCAAGGAGTTACTGCTGATAGGCTTAGTCGCAGCAATAGTTAAATAAATGAAACATCAATTTTCTTCCTTTCATGTTGATATTTGTACAGTCTCTTTCTAAGTGCAGGTTGGTGTTAATGTGTTGTTTTCAGCTCAGCTCCACTCGATTTACTCCAAACTGATCAACGGACTGAACAGAACCTCAGGTGAAATTCAAAAATGGATGGATGAATAAACTGGTTCAGGAATTCATATTTAAATCAGTAAAAGTTTAAAAGAGTCAAAGCAGGTTTGTTCGGTAGATGCTGAAGTCAGACTGAGATCCACAGAGACCCATCTGGACCAGCTGGAGGCCCACACTGCAGGTTTTCTCCTCATCCTGTCAGGTTGGTTCAGTTTATTCCTGATGGAGACAATTAATAAACATTACGGATTTTCTTTTCAGCTCTGGAGATCAGACTGAGGGTCGGCGAGAAACATCTGGAAGAGCTGAAGACAGAAAACTCAGGTAACACATGAAGTTTTATAAAGTTGAGTTCAGATTAAAGTCAAACTTCTTCATCTTTTATATTTGAACCTAAAAACTGAAGTTTTTCTGGATGTTTCTGCAGTTTGGTTCATGTGTGAATAAACCAACTTCAAATGAAATGTATTTTCAGCTTATGAAACCAAGCTGCTGGCTGTGACTGACAGACTGAACATGACTGAGGAGCAGCTGGATGATGTGAGGACTCAAAGCTCAGGTGACTTCAGGGTATCATGGAGTACTTTCTATGTTGTTTGTTTCTATGATGTTGGACTCTAAAGGGATGTTCATGTTTTCAGTCAGAGCTGCTGAGCTGGTTTCACTTTCAGACAGACTGGCTGAAGCTCAGAGAAACACTGAAGGTAACTCACTGAAACACCGTGTGCATCATGTTCACTAGCTATAGAACATAAGAGGTGTTTTCTCTCCAGAGCTGACAGTCAGACTTGAAGTCAGCGAGGCTAATCGGACCAAGCTGAGGACAGACGATGGAGGTAAACAATTTGTCATCAGATCTAATGGCATCACTGATGCACTGCTGAATGAGAATGCTCAACATTGATCTTACAGGTGAACCTAAGGTAGGATTTTCAGCTGGTCTAACTAATGCAGGATTGGTTGGTCCATTTGATGAAGAAACTACTTTGATTTTCACCAAAACCATCACCAACCTTGGCCAAGGCTACAACCAGTCGTCAGGTAGTTCATAACATAATTCTCTATGTTGCTGTTTCAGAGATCCGTCAGTGATGCTTTCACCCTCCCACTGTCCTATTGGGTGACCCCTCCAGGAAAGGTGACCTGCAGGGTTGATGGTTTATATCCCTTGAGGATGTATCCATCCTCACTCCAGCCACATGGACCTCAAGGGATAAAAACCATCGATCCTGCTCAATGGTCACCTTTCCTGAAGGGGGTCACCCAATAGAACAGTGTGATGGTTCAAAAAAATTAATGTCAGCCTTTGAGAAGATGCTAGAATTCATGTCTGAGGATGGTAGGGGTGTTGGTAAGTCTTCTAATCTAGAAGAAATCAACTTTCCAACAAGAAGGTGCCTTAGCTTTAACAGTGAGGCTGCTAAAATCCACTAAATACAGAAAACCTGAGACAGACCTGGCGTCTGCTGCTTGTGTTGGTCTCCCAGGTGTTTTCACAGCTCCAGTCAGAGGATTTTACTACTTCAGCTTCACAGCTGCAGATTTCCTGAAGGGCTACATGGGTCTTTACTTGTTCAGGAATGACCAGCCGATCGTTTTCAGCTTGGGACTGAACGACCACGGTGGATATACCTCCACGTCCAACTCGGTGGCTCTGCAGCTGGATAAGGGTGACCGAGTGCGCCTCAGTCTGCCAGCCAGCTATCGGCTCTATGATGACTCACGCAACTTCAGCGTGTTTTCGGGCTTCCTGCTTTTCCCGCTCTAACAGGAACATCACGGTATCACTGGTGCTCCTGAGCAATAAACCATCTTTATGAATTTCTGTAAATGCATTAAAAAGCCTGGATTTTGTGTTTGCTTTGAAAAATGGATTTTTGTTTTGTTTACATCACGGTGTGTGTGTGTGTGTGTGTGTGTGTGTGTGTGTGTGTGTGTGTGTGTGTGTGTGTGTGTACGCGTTTGAAAGTGATTCTGGTTTATGAAGAAACTCAATTGTGGAAATCTAAAAATAGAAAATAAAAGTGGGAAATTACTCAGAGGGATAAACAGTGTTTAGGAACATCTCTCTGTGACTTGCGTGCAGAAACACCTGGATTGGAAGTCAGAATAAGAACAATATTTTATTCATGGGTGTTAAACTTCAACGGTAAACTTCATTATAAATGAAGTAAAAATGACATCCTGTGTTAAAATTTAAGTGGGATTTGAAGATAAGAGGATTGAAAATAATTATGCTGCTGTAGGTGTCCCTCATTCGAGACTCTTTAGGAACTTTATTACTTTATTCACTCATTAACACTTTAAAGTCACTAATTAATAACGTGTAGGAAACCAAACGTAAACCCACGCATACATGAAGTCGAACGTCATGCAAAAAGATCACGACTGGGATTTGAACCTGTGACCTCGTAAGACAACACAATGAACATCTTCATGTGGCTCACTGTTCGTGGAACATCGTCTTTGGAGTTGAAGTCTCCACATGAAATTAGTCTTCAGCCTCTCCACAGATGTTTGTGGTTCCTATGGTTTAAGTTCAGAGCCAGGTTGGACCAGAGATGGTTTATCTACATGTATTGATCACATTTACACCAACTGCGCTGAAAATTGCTCCAATATTATTTCAGTACTTATTGTTTTCAGTGACCACAATGTAATTGTTGTGGTTAGTAAAACAAACATTGATAGCATGGGGCTGAAGGTCATTTATAGAAGGGTCAAGTGTGTAAATCTGTGACATACACACGGTTTTAAATGTCTTTTGTGCAAAAAAAATTGAGTCATATCAAGTTCCCCTGTTGCTAAAGCCAAAATGCTAGTTTCCTGCTCCTCCGCCCTACTGGTTGACAGTGGAATTACAACTGCTGTAAACAACTCTGCAGCAGTCTGCTGTAGCTAGCGCTACCAACGAGCTAACACTGACATGAGCCAAGTCTTACTAAATCAGCCTTAAATAAAAAAGATCCACTCTGTTGGACAACAATATCATTTCTTACAAATCCAGTAGAAACAAAGCCAGGTCACAATCAGCTCGTGATTTCAGAGCCCTTTTCACTTTCCTGAAACGAGTGTAGACCACGCCAATGTTCACTCCGGTTTTAGCTCTTTGCTTCACCTCCAAAGAGATAACTCTCTTACTTTTACTTCTAGGCTCTGCCATGATGCCAACAGAAAAGCAAACTTCCTTTTCTTCTTATTGTGCTTTTAATTGACGATTGGCAAAGAGACAACGCTGCTAACTCAGCAGAAAATAGCTAACAGCCGTAATGCAGGAGTAAGAGCGCCCCCCTAGAACACCTATCCGCCCCACAAAACTGTTAAATGCAGCATCTGGCCAGTAGAAGGCTGCAGAGTGGTATCAAATATGAAACTCGTCACGTTTCTAACCCAACAATCACTGAGATCTGTTAAAGCTCTAGCTTAAATATTTTAAAACTATTTAGCATTACTTTAAATTTATTTTCCTATTCTCTTTTTACTCCTCCATCATATTAAAATTCTCAGCTTCATTGTAAATGTTCTCTTGTAAATTGTTTACAATAGTGCTTCTCAGTCTAGGGTGCCCGACCCCCTCAAGGGGCTCCCCACAATATCGCAGGGGTTCCCAACAATTTTGCCTGTGATGAGGGGAGGTTTACCAAATTTATATTTGTAAAAACTACATTTATAAATTTTCAATAATACACCCAGTAGTATTATCAAAACTCTGTAAGAGTTATAGCTTTGTATTAAGTTTGTAATTAACTTTTAATGTGCGTATGCGGGTAAGAGGTGGGGTAGGGGGTCCTCAAGGTAAAAAAAAAGATAGTAAAACACTGGTTTACTAGAACCACACCGTCACCACTAGAGGGTTTTAATTCCACCTGTCACCCATTTAAAGTCAAAGAAAACTTGCTGGGTTTCACATTTATACTACACACAACCAGTGTGTTTAACACTAAAATTAATATTTGAATCTATTAAATAAAAAATCTATTTAAAAAATGTTTTATCAGCATGAGAAATAGGAGGTGTGGCATGAGAGCATGTGGAGACAGTAAAGCTAAATGTCTCACACTCTTGCATGACAGATGGCCACCCTGCAGCCTGATGGGTGCATCATTCAGCGCTATACTTATCCTCACATCTTCTTCATTTATTGCCATAGCTGCAGTAGTTTGAATAAAAAAATTTACTATGTATGATTATACATGAATGAATAAGCACATGTGAGGCGTAGACAAGCCAAAGAAAGAAGCTTAAAGCTTTATCAGAAAACAAAGTGAAATCTTTATTAAATGTCACCTAAAACCCTTCCCAAAACACATCTCTAGTTTAAGCCAGGAAATCCCCCTAGTGTCCTAAAAAAAGGTTTTAAGATGTGCATTAAGTTTAGTTCTGACTGGAGACTAGCTGACAGGTCAGCTGATCAGTAGTGTAACAGCTCATCAACACAATAAATACAAACCGTTGCTTAAAAACTCAGCAGGAACCTGTCATGCTGAAGTGGAAGAACATTGATGTCAGACAGTCTGGTAAAAACACTTCAAACATCCAAGACCTTTCACAGGATTCCTGTCAGGAGGAAACTTCGAGGAATGACAACGGAAAAGATTTCCATGATTCAGACTCATCCATGGGTTTATCTGTGGATCAGGAGGTAGAGACCCATGGGCCAGCTGACGTCTGGACGACAGGGCTAACCCGTGAATCAGACTAGAAGGTTTTTAAAGGTCCACAAGTTTAAATAAGCAGCGTCAGACATTTAAAAAATGAGATTAAAAACCTAAAGGAAGAAAATAAAAAGTCCCTTTAGTCTGCTGTTAGAGACGACCTGCTGCTGAGGGACGAAGAACAGGAGCAGGTCATGTTGATGATGAAGAGGAGCTCAGCTTGTGTTGTTGATCCTCCTGTGGACCGCCTGCAGGAGGAGGAGTGAATATTCCTCAAGCAGAGCTGCAGTCTTCACCTCCCCTACGCCCCCCAGGCCCCCCTGAACTCCCAGCATGCTTGGTGCATTGAGGGGCAGAGAGTCCAGCTCTGACCTCATGGCCTGGAAGGCGTCTGATAGGAGAATAGCCATCTGACAGTGGTTAGGGGAGGAGTCACTCATGGAGGAGCTGCTCACCTGGAGAGGGAGAATATATTCACATTTTTGTGTCAGAAAACAAACCAGCAGAGGTTACAAACCGATGAGGTTACTGTTTAAAGAGGGAAACAAACTCTGCTCAGGTTTTAAACAGAAACAAATCATATAAAAGCCATCTTTTATGTGAGAAATTACATCATATAGAATTGTAGAAGAGTTATGTCACCCTGGTTAAATCATTTATAAAGCTGAGTCCAGAGACAGCACTTCATCAGCTGGCAACACGAAGTCGGCTGGACGATCTCAAAATGCAACATGTCGACAAACAAAAAGAAAAACTAAATGCCACATCTGAAGTCCAGTAGGATAATCCCCCCACTTTGAGCACCAGGCTAACGTTAACATGCTGTTTTGCTCAGCTGAAGGAGAAGACTTCTCACGCCGGTGTCACAAGGAGGACAGATGTGCAGAAGCATGAGTAACCCTGAGCAACAACTCTATGGAGCTAGGATTGGGACATTATTACATGAAACTTGTACCAAGTTTTGTAACTTTCATTTTGTAGCATGTAGTTCATGTTTTGTCACACATACTTTTGGTACGTAACATGAAACTTTCATTTTTTGTCTTGCAGAATAAAATCTATGTACAAGTTTCAAAACACACATTACAAAACATACTGTCCCAATTTTAGCTGCCTTCCCAAAGAACCAATGAAAAGCTTTGTCCTATCAGCCAAGCATGTGTCTCGGATATGAAATCCTGCTCTAATTTAAAGTGTAAGCTCTTTATTTACATCAGTTTAATTTCTCTACAAACTACCGCCACCTACTGGTAAAGAGTGAGAATATAAGTCTATGTGGTTGTGAGCAGTACAACAGGCTCTACCCTCCAGCCATGATTGGACAGGAATCCAAAAAGTCATGATTGGCTGGTCAGACAAAGCCTGTCATTGTTTTGGTTTTTTTAGAAAGGAAGTAAGAATTGAGAAATAAATCTTATGTGTTGCAAAAAATTTTATTCTTTTGACTTGAGTTTTGTAAATGTAGACCGGTGTTGTTTTCGTTAACAATAACACATTGATTTCTTCGATGCCCCTATTTTTTTCATAACAAAACGAGACATTGACGAACTAAAAATAGCTTTTTGGTGAGTAAAACATGACGAGACGTGCAGGAGTTTTCGTTAGCAAGCTGAAACTAGACAAACTATGCTCAAAATGCTCATTTCTGCCTGCCTCACAAAAACTAAAAGTAACAGCGCTGCTGCTCTGTCTGTGTCCCAGACCCAGCTGCAGCCGTATTCTGCTCAGCAGACCAGCCTCAGCAGTTCGCCTCCCACCCACGTCAGAAATCCAGCACTAACCACACCATTTGCGTGGATTTCTGATGTATGTTGGAAGCAAACTCAGCTCAGCTCAGCCGAGGGAACGCACGGCACTCAGCCGCTCATTGACGCTACAATGACCAACGAGGTTGCTACTTTTAAATATATTCACAAACACATTTCTTTTCCGTTTGCTTCCTGAAAAAGTCCTGATTTTGGGTAGAAAAATGAAAGAAATAACTTTTTAACAGGTTTTATCTGAACACATCAGTGTGTCAGGATTATTGTCTGCTCCCTGGTTCCTAATAATGGGTCACTCACATTCCTGTTTTTTAAACCAACAGCATAACAGTGCAGCCCATCCACATGTTTATGAGCATCACTGCTGATGCTCAAGAGCAGAACTGGGTTGTTTATATTAATTCTGTAGGCTCCTGAAAACTCACAGCACTGCAGTCTATGGAAAAAATTACTGCATTTAAGTGGGTGGACTTTGACAAAATATACATTTAATGACATTAAGATGGAGGTCTGATAACGCAAATAATAAATTAAACAAACACATTTCTTTATTTCTATGAAATACTGTGTAGGAAACTCTGTATGCTCCCTAACGCCTACTGCACACTGGAAGCAAAAGTGGCACAGAACTAGCCTGGCAAGCCAGACTAAAGAAATGCATTATTTAGTCCGGCAACGCTCCATTGACTGCTCTTGGCCGTGGGGCGGGTTCTGCCGTTGTCTTTCTCCGCATGCTAGTCTGGACAATAAACAATGTGACATACTCAACGCAACAGATGTTGGTAAACGAGGCAGTCCGCTGTTGAAGAAGGCGAAAATACACCCTTTTTTCTAAAACATACCTTAAAGAGCAAGTCACCCCCAAATAATTTGTTTTTTTTGCTGATAAACTAAATAAACGAGTGTCTAATCGTGCTGCAGACCCGTGTAGTCAATAATTTGGCACTTCAGTGCATCTTAGTTAAAATTTAAATATTCTGCCTAAAACTGGCAGTGTTGTGCCGTTGTCAGGTAAAAACTCAGCACTGTATTTTAATTTAAATCTGCCACCGCTATTGGCTAAGAGGTATGCTATGATGTAAACTGGTACATTATGATGTCACAATGCTGTCATGAGCCTGTGTGTGTGTGTATTTGTTAGCAGCTCCGCCTTCTCGGTCTGCCAGGCAACAGCATTTGTTGCATTTTTCAAACATGAAGTGAGAGTGGAGTTAGACTCTGGTAGGGGTTGACTTGCTCTTTAAATACATATAACTGCTCCTGATTCTAATGAGTCTAATTAGTCCAAAATTTATGTAAAAGCTGTTTCAAAAGAGCGGTCGCCGTCTTGTTCCACTCTTTTGCATCATCACCAAAAGAATAGAGGGCCCTGATTGGCCCACAGAGCGGATAAAGCATTGTGATTGGTTCACAAAGCAGATAGAGTTGGCCCACCAATATGGACCAATCACAGCTCTCTATGTGTATGAAATCCATCTATAGAGCTGTGATTGGCCAGCCAGAATGCTGCTAAGGGCTGCAGAGGTTCCAATGGAACGTTCCTAGACCAAACTTTGCAAAGCAAGAATTTGGTCTAGTTCACTAGGCTAGCACAGAACGGCAGCGAAAAGGTTTACTCGCCACAATCACAGCACTTAATTGCACATCGGGGGAGTCACAGCAGTGAAGCGGCTTCTCTGCTGAGCTCCTCGCTTGACTCGCAAGATCACAAAATCCCTCGAGACTGTTTATGCAATCCGCCTTTAACCCAAAAAGAAAGAAATCACATTGTTACCACTGTTTGACCTCTCCACTGCCAGGAATAACGCCATGAAAACACACCGCTGCCCTTCTGGAATGATGCTGTGAGTAAATAAGCCGTTAGGTCACACATAAGCTTCATATATATGAAATTGCAGTGCTGCAATTTTTGAAAAGTACTTTTATTTTGAAAAGTAATGAGGATTTCACACTGAAACCTTGTGTGAATCCCTGTCTAGCCCTATGTTAACTGAGGTATTTGATGCATCCCAGAAGCGACTCACGGAAAAAATAGAACCTGATCCTATCTTTAGCGGCGTGGAGCGGCGTGCCGCGTCTGGGACGCTTCTGAAAATTTCCGCGTCGCGTCTGGTTTGTTACACTCCATAGAATATAATGGATTCTGTTTGAAGCGGTGCTGTTCCGCGCCGCTTTTGCTTCCGGTGTGCAGCAGGGGTAAGAGTCCCTTCTGTTAAGGGAAGAAAATCATAAGTTCTTTTATGAAAATCTTCAGAATGATGCACAGATCTGAAACAATGAATTATACACACTATTGTGATTATCAGTAAAGTAAAAAAAAAAAAAATAATACCAGTCTGGGGATTACTGTTTTACTGGACAAAATCTGAAGCTGCTAAGATTGTGTCCCACAGCCCTAAAGTAAATGATGTTGGTATGAAACTCCCTCCAGAAGCTCAGGGTACGTCTGACCTTCACATTTATTAATTAGACACCAATACTCTGTTTAACTTTTTCTAAAAGTGAAAACAAAAATTTTTGTCGACTGAAAACTTTTTTGAATTGTAGTCGACTAAAACCGACTATGACTTAAGACATTTTCGTCATCAAGACTAACAGGCTCGACACATGGGAGGCGACATCGCCTCTCCTCCATTCATTTTCAACGAGACGTGCGTGACAAAGCGATAATCGCCGGTATCCCTCCTGCTAAGCGGCACGCAAAAAAAGAGCACAGGCGAGCCAGCGACGCGATCCCAGAAGGTTGAAATATTTTATTGACTGACCAATGAGCGGACAGAATGCTTCTCAGTACATCTCCGGGCAAACATGAAGGAAAAGTTAATAATTGCCATTTCAGGTTTCCACAGCTTTACAACATTTATACAAAGGAACACAGAGATCTTCACAAAAAGGCAGCGGCATGGGGATTTGTCGGTGAGTTGGCTGTAGGTGTGGTCTCTCATTCGCAGTTTCTTTTTCTGTTTGTAATATGGGATGAACTCTAGCTAAACCTTTCGAGACTTCATATCTACTCGTTTTTCAACTCTGAACTGCTTCAATAACCCAAAATTCCCTCCAATCTGATGACCAATCAAAACAGCAGAAGATTCGCTGTTCGCCCTGTAGCAGAGCTTGTAGCTGGCTTTTGCCGCTGCCGCATGTCGCCTCCCGTGTGTCGAGCCCATAAGACTAAGACTAAACCAAGATGCCCGCCAAAAACAACACTGCTGTATAGTTAGATGTGTGTTTTGAGAGTTGTGATTTGAAACTTACACAACTCATGGACAGGTTACATATTACAAAACAATAATTATTTACCAGACCAGGACCAGGAATGAGCTCCCCTGCCCCGCCATCACCTGCTGGAGACCGTGCGCACTGCTGCGCCCTGTTATTGTTACCGGTACTTGTCTTGCAATGTGAAATGCTTGGTCTCAGATTTTGTAAGAAAAACAATAAAATTTCCCCCCAAAATGCGACTTATTTCTGTTTTTTTCTTCTTCATTATACATTTTATGGCTGGTGCGACTTATACTCCGGAAAATACGGTACTACAAAATAAAAGTCGCATGCTACAAAACGAAAGTCACAGTTACTAAACACGTTAAAAGTTACAAAACCTGGTACAAGTTACATGTAATATTGTCCCTAGCTCCATGATGATCACACTCACCAGCCACAACAGGCCTGCAATGTGCTGAGGTATCTTTTCCATAAATCTTGTCTGTGAATTGGGGTTTTTATGTTCTGTAATAAATCAAGCTTCAGTAGTCCTTATTTATTTCTTGAGTGCTAGTCCCACAGTGAGTCAGAACAACCAGGGACACTGCAGATGTGGAGGACCAAAACAGAGCTGCATAGAATTATTTTATCTTGCTGCTTGCATCATCTACAGATTCAAGTTAGAGTCGGATCCTTACCTGCCTGTAGAGGCGCGTGGCCCTCCTGAAGCAGCTCTGCAGCTCATTGGTCAGAGCCCTGCAGCTCTCCAAGCTGATTGGCTGATCTGCAAAAAGAGTAGCAGGTTAAGTCACCAGACATTCATCACATCACAAAAAGATAAAACTTCAGGAAAAGTGAAGTATGTAGAAAACAAGTGTGATGGGGGGGAGGGGCACACCTCATCCTTGGCAGAGAGATAGAAGGGGGAAGAGGTGGGACGGAGCCAGAGAGATGACAGGATGAAGTGACGAAGAAGAGGAGGAGGAGAAGATGAAAATCCAAACCTGGGTCTTCTGTGGGGTCCGTACTGAAACCTGCTGGAGTCAGAGGCTCCTCCCCCTGCTGAGAGGGAGCCACAGAGGAGACTGAAGCTGTAGGGGACATGAGGCCAGAGGACTTTGAGGATGGTGAGAAGGAGTCCAGCGAGGGTTTGTCAGGAAGTGGTCTGCTGCTGCTGCTGGGGACACGAGCCTGCAGACTGCGAGGGGGAGCTGAGCGGTTACCCATCGAGGAGGAGGAGGAGATGACAACAGGAACGACAGCAACATGAGGGGGAACCTGAGACACATTAGAGTGCACCACAGCAACTGGAGGAGGCGGAGTCTCTTTAACCTGGGTGCAGGAGCCCAGCGCTGATGGAGGTACAGGGTCCTCAGCAGGTTCAGGGATGTGGAGGCCATCCCCCATGGAGACAGAGCGGGACATCTTAGCCATGGAGCTGGCAGTGGGACTCATGTAGGAGCGCAGCGCCAATGCTGTCAGAGATGAAGAGGAAGACTTCCTGGGTGTGATAGCAACACCATCCTGCTGGGAGGACTGGGGGGAGGTGGGGCTCTGCCTGGAAGTGGGAGGGGCAGAGGATGGAGGCCATCTGGGGGAGGAGGGAAGAGTGGTGGGACGCGGAGGAGGAGCCTCTCTAGTTGGATGAAAAGTGTCTGAAGGGACACCTACTGCAGGGAGACAGAAAGTCCTCAGAGTTTGTTCTTCAGGGTTGGGACAGGTGAACTCATGAGGGTTACCTGAGACGTCCAGCAGGCTGTGGACTGACTGAGCCTTCTGAAGCCCGGCATTCAGGTGGGAGGAAGCAGAACGGACCACCAGGTCTGGGTTCCTTCTGGGATCCACTGCAGTCTGGACTATCTTCTTCAGTGAGAGGTGACTGGGGGGCTGGTGACATGAGGAGGTCTCCTTCCCCTCTAACTGCACTTGGAACTGGTTCAGATCATGTTGCCTCTGGTTCTGAAGAAGAGGAGTCTTGGATTGGTCATGATGAAAATGGCTCTGAGTCTGGGATTGGTCCTGATGTGGGAAGGTCTGGTCCTGGTTCTGTGTCCAGCTCTGGTTCCCATCCATCAGGGGTCGCACCTCAGAGACCAGCGCCTGGGCCTTCACCCCCCCAACACGGCCCTCACTGGTCCACCCGCTCCGGCTGATGAGGAAAAGACCAGAGGAGAATCAGTATCAACTGGGCCATCTGGGTCAGGACACACAGGTTAGGCCTGGTGGGTCACACACACACACACGCGTGCTTGCGTGCGTGTGTGTGTGTGTGTGAGTGACGTTGGGGGTGGGGTGGGGGAGAGAATCAAGAGAATCCAGAGAATCAAGAAAATGATGGACAACCCTGAGCATTCTCTTCACAAGACTGTCCGACAACGGAAGAGTGTCTTCAGTCAGAGGCTTCTTCAGTTTGGCTGCAACACTGACCGCTACTGGAGATCCTTCCTGCCAACAGCCATTGTCATATACAACAAGTCTTTGATGACCTGATTATTATTTTTATTCTGAGCTACTACAGCAATCAATTTCCCTCTGGGATTAATAAAGTATTTTTCAATTGAATTGAACTGAATTGAGAGAACCAGTGTGCAGTGACCTCCTACCTTCCTCCTGAGGCCTTGAAGAGGAACCTGGAGGAGATGCTGAGACTCTCACTGGAGCTGTGAGATGTTCTGTTTGGACTTCCTGTCAACACAAACACTTCCTGTGACTCTTTTATCTTCTAGCCAATAGCCAGCAGCTTTGTGACACAGAAACTAAATGGATGACTTTTATTGTGGTGGTTTAATATAAACACATTAATCTCTGACCCAGTAACTAGGTGGACCACCCTGATGTACCTGAAGCAGACTGATCAGCCAATGTGTCAAAGTTCTCCTTCAGAAAAGCCTCCTGGTCTGGAGTCAGAGGAACTACTTGAGTCACCTTCCCTCCTTCTTCCTCTTCATCCTCTTGCTCCATCTCCACACTCAGAGGTCCTGTGGACTCTGATGAACACAGAAACAATTACAATGAGATGCAGCTAACAAAGACAAGAACAGAAAGGATTCTCTCCTCTTCTGGGCCTACTGTCTCACCATCTCCTGCAGGAGTATCTGGACTAGACAAAGGGGAGCTGAACTCTACAGAGACGCCACTGTCTGGACTAGGTTTGTCCTGTTGTCCATCTCCACCAGAAGGACACGCCTCCTTGACCTGGAACTCACTGACAGCAGGTAGAGAGGTTCAGCAGCACGTTTAAGGCTGATGAGCACAAGACTGAAGTTCTGGAGACAAGCTGGTCGTGTTAATCACAGAGCGAAGCTCCAGGAATCAGAGCAGGTCAGATCTGGTCATATGCTGAACGCTGTACCTGCCCGTCAGGCTGATTCTGTCCTCCCACTTCTCAGGAAAGAGCACCAGGTCATTTCTGTTCAGGCTCTGATTGGACAGCTGGATGAAGCCAGGCCTCTCATTGGTCTTTGCTTCGTCACCTGTCTGACAGATAAAAACACAACATGTGATCAATCCAGGAGTCCATTTATTTCTACAGAGTTTTCAGCTTTGAGCATCGAGTGAAATTACTCTAATAGTTTTCTGATTTGAACCGAATCACTAATCTGTGAGGCTACGGGGATTTGGGATCATGATCAATAATTATTTCTTCATTTATTCGTACCCAAGCAGAGGAAACTTGGATGCTGACAGTACTCCCCAGCTTCTCATTGGTCCCATGAACTCCTGGCTTTACTCCCTGACTCCTTCTCCTCCTCTTCAGGCTACAGGTATTCCCTGAGTGGGCCCACATCTTCAGCTGGACAGAAGAACCAAACATTCACCTCAGCTTCGTAAACGTTTCTTAGTACGTGGTGGAATCAACTTACCTCCTCCGGTTCCTCCTGACCGTCCAGGCCATACGAGTCCAGCAGTCTCAGATCCAACATGGACTTTACCATCAGGACATCATCAGTACTGGTTGTCCTCCTGGACCAGCGACGGCGAGGGAGCCGATCCTCTGAGCTCTCCTGATGAGTGACATAAGAGGTCAGAATGTTTTCATTCTGTAGTTTCAAACAAATCTAGTAACAGCTCAGAATTCCTGCCCATCTAAACTAAATGTTTTCTCAAAGGATGAATTACTCATACACCCTAACCCAGTGTGTGTGTGTGTGTTTCTTTTACTTAAAACAGGTGAGCTTGTGAAGTGAGGGACCGAGAGTCACTTACGGTTTTGCTTTCTCTGTTGGACATCTCATCAGACACTTCAAAGAAAAAGAAACTATTAGTTTAATGCTGCAAAACGAAAAACCCATTACTGCTGAGAGAAGGTTAAGCGATCGGATTGGGTGGTCCTGGTTCTGCTCCTCCCTGGAAAGAAGACTTTTCATTCCTGAACAGATCAGCTGAAAGTGGCAGTAACTGACCCGCCTCCTCGTCTGGACTTCCGTTTGCTCCTCCCCCTTCTTCTTCCTCAGCATCACTGTCAGATGACAGGGTGACGACACGAGGATGAGTCTCCCTGCTAAATACACACACACACACACACACACACGCACACACACACACACGCACACACGCACACACACACACACACACGCACACACACACGCACACACACACACACGCACACACACACACACACACAGAAATGTGTTTTATTTAAATTCAGCCATCCTAAAGTTTCTGAACTTCTGACAGATTTGTGGATATTAGATTGCTTGTTAATCTAGTCTGAATGCGGTCACAAAGATTATTTCTTCCACATTGAAACAACTTCTGTCTCTAAATTATTGAATAGCTTCATGTAAAACTACACTTCTGTTCATTTCCCAACACACTGGTGGGAATATCCTGAAATGTCTACATGAAGTATCCTGCTGCACCAGATGTCTAATATTGCTACTACCTTTATAAAATCACACATCTTTCACATTGACGTGGTGCTTTTAGAATTTTTTTTATTAACGAAGGACAAACATTTAAGAAACTAAAATCCAACATGTTCAGTTCCGTTATGTTTCCATCCCTAAACAGAATTCCACTTTTTGGTTTTCATTCTTTTGTACTTTTAGTCTATATTTAAATTCCTCCATTAATAAAATATGACACCAAATTTAACATTATACACAAGAGTCAATTACAGAATTAGTAAAGCTGTGAAAATATTATCCTGAGTTTTTGAGTTATGCACTGTTACTAGCTTCCTATTAAATTCAGAATAGATTTTAAGATCCTTCTCACATGAAAGCTCTTAATAATCATACATCAGTGATCTGATTGTTCCATGTGTACCTAACCGAGCACTTCGCTCTCAGCCTTCAGGTTTACTGGTGGTTTCTAGAATATCTAAAATTAGGATGGGAGGCAGATCTTTATGTCATCAGGCTCCTCTCTTGTGGAACCAGCTCCCAGCTTTAGTCTGTGACGCAGACACCATGTCTACTTTTAAGACTAGGCTTAAAACTTTTTTTTACTTGATAGGACCTATGGTTAAAATCTGAATGATGTTACCCCAAGTTTGGACTGTTTGGAGCGAGGGAGTAGAGGGAGATGAAGTGTACAGCAGGGAATACAGTCAGTAAAGACGGTTTTCCGTGGCCCTGCCTCCCACATCTAAAAGACTAGGTTATCCAGAGTTATCTCTGAAGTTATGTTGCTACAGGCTTAGACTCCTGGAGGACATACTGACCACCTTCCACACTGCTACTTTCTTCTACCACTACTCTCTAATTGCATTGTTTTCTGCTATTTCAGCTGTTAACTTTATGTTTTCTCTAAGTTTTTCTTCCCAGAAGAAGCTACAATGGTGTTCTGCTGAGCTGTGGTAGCCTCATGGAGCGGGCCATCGGCTAGCACACTGCTGCTAACCACTTAAAGGGGCATTATGGATGTTTGACAGCCAAAACATGTATAGAAATAATAAATTTCTTCTTCATACATTCTCCTGCAATGCCCTGGTCCTGTAGAATGAGCCCTGGCATTTTTACTGTGATTGCATTTTTCTGTAAAATCACAGAAAAAGAGAGTTGCTCGGGTCGAGCAGGCTGCTTCATGCGCGTTCACGCTCAGGCATCGCCCGTAGCATTTGCTATCCGTAGCTTTAGCAGCAGAGAGTGAGGTAGTGCCAACTCAGCGACTTTGTTGCTGTTCTTAACGCCTAGTGATGAACCTAGCTACATTTCTGAGGACCCTTAGCTACTTTCTTCTAGATATTTCCTGCAAATTAGCAACAAAATAGCCATTTTCACTCCGAACCGTTCTTTGAGCGTTGTTTCAGCTGTCATCAAGGATATAAATGTTACAGATACGAAAGACGTCACTGGTGCTTTAGCTCACCTGGTTAAACAACAGACTCTCGTGCAGAAGTCCTGGGTTCGATTCTGGATGTGAACTTAGTTTATTTAGAGTTTATTATTTACATCAATGGTATATTTCTTTTACAGTAAGGTGCCCAAATGTTTATTTAAGACTCGCCGAACGGCATTGAATTCACAGATAAAAAAGATGTGGGTTCAACTTTCATTTTGGAACAATTTTTCAAGCAAGGGAAGGGAATGATCTGAACATGCAGGAGGACTGACCCATCATAAACCTTTGTCGGCTGTGCTGAAGAGAAAGGTACAGAACCAAATTATTTAATTAATTAGCTGCGCGTTCTCCTGTCCTCTGTCCTCCGCCCCCCCCCCCCCCCCCCCCCCCCCCACACACACACACACACACGGGTCTGTCTCAGCTGTTATTTTCGTTAAGGAGTGTGCATGTACAGCATGCGCGCCTCGTGCACGAGCCTACTATTGAAGCTGCCGTTACGCTTTTGGCCTGAGGGGGCAATCGCGAGCATAAAAATTCTAAACTTCGTAAAGTCCCTTTAAGGAAGAACCCTAAAGGAAGAACCAGGACATGCTGGAGGGGCAATGTTTCTCAGCTGGCCAAGGAACGCCTTGGGATTCCCCTGGAAGTCTGGGCCTCTCTGCTTAGGCTGCTGCCTCGTCACCCGACCCCAAATAAGCAGATGAAAATGAATAGATGGAAGAAATAGAATCTCTACTAAGAAATCGCAATGTGTGCAGCCATTGAAGCTCTGTCTTCATCCCCAGTGAGTCGTGGTGGATGGCTGCTTGTACTGAGCCAGGATCCTCCGGAGGTTCCTTCCTGTTAAAAGGGAGTTTTCCTCTCCACTGTTGCTACATGCTTGCTTAGCATGAGGATTGCTGTAAAGACTCTGACACCAGTTGAACTTGATGCAATTTGCTGGGTTTCCTTATGTTGGCAAATTTTATCTAATTGGCATAATTAACTGTACTCAATTGAATTATTTACTTTGTGAAGTGCCTTGAGACGACTCTTGTGATTTGGTGTTATAAAAATAAACTTCATTGAAATGAGTGGAAAATAAGCAGGAAAATTCAAAACTAAAGTCAGCAGGTGACAACACAACAAAATGTATTTCTGGTCACAATTACTACATCCTGAACAAACAAAATCTAACCGCAGTAGTAGTTTGGATCCCTGGGCTACAAAATCCTCTCTGCAACTGGAAACTCCACCTAAAGAAAGTACTGGATGTGCTTATCCAGGCGGTTTTAAATTAAATTAAATGAAATTATTAAATTAAATTAAATTCTTACAGAAAGGCTTTGTTGTTTTCTTTTGTTTCTGATTCTCTTACAAATTTTGAGACTTTTCTCAAATGTTTTAACAATTCTTTTGGGGTCATTTACCTGGGCTTCACAGCTTTCTGCTGAGGTGTATTCTGGGAATTTGGAATGTGGCCGCAAGGTTGGAGATCAGCAAGTCGCTCCCTCATCCTGATGGTCAACTCTGGATTTAAACGCCACACAAAGATGCAGCTGTACACACACACACACACACGCGCAAACAAACAGCAGTTTCATTATTGAGGGCGCTGATGTGAGGAGGGACATCTCATCATATCATGGTGCTGATGCCGAACATGTGTT